AAACCATTTCAGGTGACTACCTCTTGAAGCTCATGGAGAGAATGCCAAGAGTGTGCAAAGCAGTAATCAGAGCAAAGGGTGGCTATTTTGAAGAAACTAGAATATAAAACATGTTTTCAGTTATTTCACCTTTTTTTGTTAAGTACATAACTCCACATGTGTTCATTCATAGTTTTGATGCCTTCAGTGAGAATCTACAATGTAAATAGTCATGAAAATAAAGAAAACGCATTGAATGAGAAGGTGTGTCCAAACTTTTGGCCTGTACTGTATATATGTAAATAAAAAAAGTAAATAAAATAAAATAATAAAGAGAATAAAATAGAGAGATGTAATAGTGATGCAAAAACAATCAAAGTCAAAAATAAGTAATTAAAAACACATAAAAATACAATAAAATAAAAATAAAATGATATAAAGAAACTACAAAAATAATTACTTAATAATAAAATAAAATAAATAAATAATAACAATAGCAATAATAATTAAAAGTAGAGTCATAAATGAAATAAAATGATACAATAGAAATACAAAAAAATCAAAGTAAAAAAAATAATAATTATAAATAAATAAATGATAGTAAAACAGAGATATGGTATCCATGATAGAAGAAATCTAAGTTAAAAAAAAAAATTAAACATAAATAAATAATAATAATAAAGGGATGAATAAAAAAATATTACTGAAGTAAAACAGAGGTATTTGTGACAGAAGAAATCTCAGTTTAAAAAAAATCTAAAAAAAATAAAAACTGTTTAGAGTAAATAAAAGAAACAACACAGGACAAGAGAGAAAATTTACAAAACCATACTTTTTCTAAAAGGAACAGTATATTTTAAAATGTACATCCTTTTTGTATCCGTTTTCTATATTCATCAAATATATTTAAATACTTGTTTTCTTCCTACATCTAGAAATGTAGTTGATGATACCCAAAAAGGTGATTTAGTAAGTATATAACAACTGCTCCACAACATAAAAGTGATGGCTGGAGCAGGCACCGTTTCCATGGTAACAGCAAATGGATGGAAAGCCACTAAAGCATGTGGGTAGAAATATTTTCCACAAGGGGCTTCACAATAAAAGCCTCGACAGGAACACATAGCCACAGTTTGCTTGATTGCGTTCAGCACTGAAAATTTAACGTTGATTATCACATTAATTTTTTTTCTTTAAATTGATTCTGGACTTTCAGTGAAGGGTGACAGATAAATTTACGACCTGCTGAGTGTCCTCTTAAAACCACAGTGGCGTCCTGTGGCCCTCCGCTGTCAGCGAGCCAGCTGCCTGCACATTCGTTGTCCCTGGTGAATAATGGCGCTCTGATATATGCGATTCATTTATCTGCTTGTTGTTGTGGTGTTTGATCGCTGTTCTTTAATCTCTGTTTATCAAGGGAGGGTTTGCTGAGAGTTGCTCAAATTTCCTGATAGTTTTGTGCTATGATACCTCACAGAGATTCATCTTTCATCACCTGACAGAAAAACGGGTTATATTTGTTTTAAATGTTGTAAGACAGAAAAGAGATTTCAACACTTATGTCCAAGCTGCATCTGCTTCTTATCCTTTATGCATCTTTGTTCTTGCGTAATGTATGTCAATATGATACAAGGTCACTTCTGGCAAGGCCAAAGACAGATGTAGTTGCTGGAGTCACCACTAGAGGGCAGGCAGCTCCAACAGATGCAGCGAAAACATTCAATCTGATCACCTCAGTTGTTCTGTTTTTGGGTAGATGCTTTCCAGTATGCATGTGTTTACACCTGGGTTTGTTCAAGGGTTTCAACACTGTGTTAATGTCTCTTAAATTGTTAAAATACAACTGACTAATTAGGCGATATCCCTTTAAATAGACATGAATTGGCTGATATTAATATGCAAACACAGTCCAAGATATGACAGATTTAAGCACAGGGAGTTTCGGAGGTGGCTCACATCCTCTAAAGCAAGCCGCTGCACGCTACGGATACAGATGCACCAAACACCGAGGCATAAATCAGCTGTCAAGGAGCTCTGCAATCACCATTCCAGCTGTGTTGCACCGGCGAAGGTTCAGCCCAGACTGACGCGGCCAACATTTTGACACCTGCTCTCGAAAAATGGCAGGAAGGAAAAGCGATTTGTAGGTTAAAGTTTAAGTAATGTATCCTCTCAAGACTTCTGCTTTCAGAGTAATTACAGTGCATGCTTGACAGGGCACTAAACCGTGTTTCTGATATATTGCCGGAGCTATGACCTTTCCTAAAACTCCTTAAAAACTAATTTCTTCTACTTGGAGAGCGTCTACAAATCGGAGGAGCACTTGGGTTAAGTGGCATGCTAAGGGTTGTATTGTTGGGTTAAAGCGTCACCGCCACGCCCACAACCTTTAATTTTTCAACCTTTATTCACGCAGGGAGGGTCTCTTAAGTGCGGTGATTTAAATTCTTGGCCTGGCTGGGAAATGAAAGCAAGCGGAGCGTACGAGAATCGCTCTCCACTTCGTCGGTAATGACCCTCAAAACACAGAGGCACTTTAAGGCCCAAATGTTACATTGAGGGCAAGTGAAGCACAACGGGGCGAACACAGCACGCCTTCTCTGGAAAAACAAGGCTTATAGAGGAAAGAAAAACATCATGGACGCGTACATATGCAGCACGTATATTGTAATTATGGACTGGCTCCTGAGGCAGCACACAGAATCAGTACAATGTGGAGGTTTCACGCATGTTTCCAACTTTTACAACTTTGTTAGCCGCCTGTCCTCCAGGCTTTAAAAACCATCTACAACATGAGACGATCTAAGACGATGATACACCTGTTTACATGGACACAAACAACCTGGTTATTCGGAGACTGATCAGCCAAAACATTCAAACCACTGAATAACGCTGATTGTTCTGCTGGGAAACCTTTGGTTCTGGCATTCATGTGGATACCACCTGACATGTTCCACCCACTCAAACACCTTTCCAGCTCAAGGTGTCGCCCCAATCTGCTCAAGGATTTTTGTGATGTGCCAGTACCCCAGATGTACCCCTAATCCAAGGTGGTGCCTCCTTGGATCGGTCTTGAACCCTCGACACAGGATCTCTGGGAGTGTCCTGCAGTGTCTGGCACCAGTGCGTTGGCGGCCACAGATGCTCATTCAGATTGGGATCTGGGGAGTTCGGAGGCCAGGTTGACACTTGTGAGGTCTTTGTCACATTCCTTGGGCCGTTCCTGAGTGATGTTTGCAGTGTGGCATTGTGCATTATCCTGCTGGGGGGCCACTGCCACTGGGGAGTACTGTTGCCATGAGGGGGGGGTAATTGGTCTGCGACTGTGTTTGAGTGGGTGGAAGATGTTTGGTGGTATCCACATGAACGCCAGAACCAAAGGATTGCATGCAGCGCCCCTTCTTCCCAGACGGTCAGTTCAACATCTGTCTGGTTAGCATGAGCTAACGCAGCAGCAGTGGTTAACCGCAGACACTGAGACGTGAAACGATCCCAAATCGGCTCAACTCCATACTTAAACAAGTTAATAATTGTAAGGTAACATTCGGCATACGATGCTAACAGTTAGCCCTGTCATTGAGTGTGTGCAGGCGGATTCTCAACGGTAGTGTTGTGTCGTTCGAGAACGAATCGTTCAAAAGAACGAATCTGTTGAGTGAATGTACTGAACTGAATCACTTCCGGAACTGATTCGTTCATTTCTCAGTTCAGTTGAGCTCAGCAGCAAATGTGTAGGCCGGGATTGGAACTGCCGATTCGGTCCGTGAGAACGATGAATCACTCGCGAGTTGCGAGGCAGCCAGAGTGCAGGGAGGGACTGCAGTGACGAATCACTTGGTGAACAACGTAACCCTGATCCCTGAGTGATTCAAATAATTTCTTCTCAGGGATACACTTTCATAGGGACCGTTTTCTCCAAGCTAACGGCTAATGTAGCCAGGAGTCAGGCCACATGAACACAATCACACACCTCCCCACTGTTTTAACAGACTTAGTTTCCAGATAAACAAACTTAAAACGTTAGGCTGGCCAGTAATGAGACTCACCAGTGCAGGGCAGAAGCAGCAGCAGCTCAGCTGTGTATCAGTTCAGTGAGTCGGACTAGGCAGTACACAGTCAGGGCTCCTCCTACCAAGCACTGAACGATTTGGTGACCGAATCTTTTGACCGAATCTTCTTAATGAACTGATTCTAGTGATTCAGTAACATCTAAAGAACTGCTTTGCCCATCACTACTCAACGCCAAAACACAACAGCAACAAATGCCTTGCGTGCAGAAAACACGCCCCTATCATTTTCAATGTACAGCCCCACAGCACTTCACACCATCGTCCTATTTCCAGCCTCGCCACCTCCGGAATTAAACCCTTGAAATCTGGAGCGACATCACTTTCCATGTGCTGTTTTCAGATACCTTTTGTAAGTATTGAAACCTTTGAACAAGCAAATTGGTGCAATTTCTTTCAGAATAATGGGGAAAAAGGCAACGAGCAACTTATTAAGAAATGTCCCACAAATCCTCAGCCTCGTGTTGAGGTGGTTAAAGTAAATCTATTCATGTAAAAATGGGTGAATACAGTCATTAAATTTCATCTTGCTACAGCAGAAAAGAGTCATGCTTTGCTTTGCTGTTACCACAAAGCTCATTAAAGCATTTTGTTTCCTGCGTCGTGTAAAACGTTCCTCTCACAGCGCTTGTTAAAAGTCCGTGTCCAACACCTCAAAACTGAGAATTTCTTATAAAACAAAAAATGACTCAATAAATCAAAGGAATAAATTTAGCAGGTTGCTGGTGGTGAAGCTCCAGCCCGGACAGCGTTACCTTGTCGTGGTAGGCGGTGATGAGCCACAGCTCCAGGTCCAGGTTGTTGTTCCTCTTCTCTGCGCCGATAAAGTGGAGGATGTTGTCGTGCTTCATGCCGCTCACGCTGAAAATCTCATACTCGTTCTGCCAAGAGAGCTTGTCCTGGAGAGACGGAGAGAGGCAGATGCAGATGTTATTACTGTCATAGAGTCACCCAGTTTGCAAAATAATCAAGTATAGCTTGTTGGGATGTAACGTCACTGTTTGGTTCATTCCCCGGTTCAGAGGTAGTGACTCATGGGAGAAAAGTATTGCATAAAGAAACACTTTACCAAAAGGCAACAGGTCTAAAAAGCATCTCTTGTGATATAAAACTGAAAACACCGAAGTAGGGAGGAGAGTTTCGATGAGTTCCACCTTGGCCATATTTAAACATTCAAAGCCCATCAAGGGTATGCCGAAACACCGTCCTCGTTTTAGACGCAACACTTTCTCTGATGCAGCTACCGACTACCGGGAATCTGAAAACAGGTCTTCCAGCTCTGACACTGCATTTGTGACGTTAGTTCGGAACACGTTCTCACCACAAACGAACCGCACCAGAGTTCGTTTGTAACTGGACCGGACCACCTCTTCAAGAAGGTCTCGGTCCGGTTGTTTTGGTGGCACACCTGCCCTGACAAACCGCACTGAGTGGGCAAACGAACTTGCAATGATGCGAGCGCACTAAAGAACTACACATGGCACACCTACATCCTGCCCTCATCAACAACACGATCTGCATCTCCAGATACTTGACTTTAATTGGTTTGTAGACTATCCTCTCGTATCCTCTCAGAAAAGGGTCGGAGTCTGAGTTTATGAAGTCGTCTTTTCCTCTCCCCATGTGGTACCGCTGCTCATTTCGTTATGCTGCATTGTTCGTGGACACACTGAAACCTACGCTGTACATCTACCACCCCTTGACAGCTTTACTGCTTATTTCTCCTCTGCTCTGATCGCCAACACCTGTCAGCTCACACACACACGACTCACCACTTGGCAATCACCTGCACAGACCTCCTGTAATTGGTGCAAAAGTCCGATTGCACCATTTTAAAGGGTGTACGCCAGCCAAAGGACAAAATAAAAGTTAATGACTTATTACTTCACTTTAATGCACAAATACATGATCCATTACTGCTGATAAAGAATTTATTACAACTTAAAAACCCCTGAAAGTAAGAATTAAAGAAAGAAGTACCAACAGACACGTTTTTAAAGACCACTGGCCTTTTTTTCAGGCCAGGTGTGAAGTTATGACTACTTGTGATGTGCGTGACACACCGCTGGGTGATTTAAAAGGCAGCTGATAGCAGTTAGCAGCTAACTCAATGTCCACAAGTTCAGTTTTCACACCACAAATGAACCAAACTGTGGCTCAGTTTGATCCACACCAAGGCCACCTCTTTCTGTCGGACCAAGGTTCACACCTGTAATTTTGGTCCACAAGTGAGGCAGGTGTGAAAGGGCGTTAAATCTACGAGCCTTTCGTTTGTCTTTATCATCCACACATTTCACAGAAGAGCTCAGAAGTCAAAATATAATACCTGAATGGGGAAGATCTTAACGGCGACAAATTCGTTCAGCAGCTGCGCCTTCCACACACACCCAAAGCGCCCTCTGGCTTTCACCTCGATCAGCTGCAGCGGCTTGTGCCCCAAAATAGGGGACGGGGGTGACGGCCCGGGATCCTGTAGAGAGAGGGCAGAGCAAAAAGACAAGAGGACAGTGTTATTCTTTCTTCCTTTTTTTTTTTTTTTTTTGCAGGGCATTAAAATAGCATTGGCTTATACTGAAGGTGACCGGGCTTTTGGCTCAGCGACAACGTGCCTGAGGAGCTTAGGCCAGCAGAATCACTATCATCTTCACATCTTAAATCACATCTCACATTTATAGACTCGCTTTTATGTGATGATGTTGTCTTTAAATATTTTTCTCTTGCAAACATACTGTTGTTTTTTTTTTTGCTTTATTTGTTTTATGGCTCTGTTGTTTGTTTTATCTGATTGTTAAAGCACTTTGGGAAGTCTGGTTTAGGAAGTGTTTAAGTTTAGCCATATTGTTATTGCTCTGAAGTTTTTTTGGCAGCGGGGACGCAACATAGCGAGCAGGGTTTGGACTCATTCCTTTTAAATTCGATTAAACCCCTCAGGGCTGCATTTGCTTGAGTTTACAGAAGCGGGATGGTGACTGGAGGGTTGCCAGTTTGAATCCAATGAGCCGCTGAGGAAAACTAGGCGAGGAAAGATCCAAAAACCTCGACTACCGCTGAGCAAGGCACATGGATACAAGACTTTAACATGAATGAATATGAAGCAGACTTATCCACATACATAAATGGTTAAATTAAAACACTGTGATGAACCCTGACAGGTCAAACCTCATGCGTGCGCTGTGTGTTCACGCTAATCCCGTATAAACAAAAGTGAAAGCAAGGAAGCCAAGTGTTCCAAATCCAAAGTAGGTTAAACACAGCTGGTGATCGGGATTAAGCTGATCACTTTCACATGTGACTTCACAGAGAAGGACAGAGTGCTAGCGAGGATAGAGAGGAACACAGAGGCAGAACGAGCGGGGGGAAGGTTAAAAAGAAGCATGCAGTGAGGGAGTCACATTTCCAAGGGATAAAAGGTAGAGGAGAAAGACTAGCACATGACTGATGGCCTTTGATGAAACTAGATATGCTGCTGTAAAATCTCGACTTTACTTCCATGCCTCTGCGTCGCTGTTGTCAGTAAAAAAGAAAGAGCTTTCCCCCTGCAACGCCAACGACGTTCATGTTTTTACTTGAACCGAGGGCTTACAAAGGTGCTCGATAAGCCGGAGCAAGTTTCAAGACCCTGAGGCCCACACAGGATCCACTCAAACACCGTGATAATATATCAAAAGCACTTGTCAATCCCAGTCTGGTTTCTTTTTTTTAACTTCCCATAAAATGCCCCATTTGGTGTGCCACTGATACGAGCCAAAGACAAGACAGAAACAACCCTCACACCGACGAGTTCTCTTTGGCTGTGTGAGGTATAAAAAGTACATGTCTGCACGCGCACGCACACACACACACACACACACACACACACACACACACACAGGTACTTAATTTACTGTCAAGGTTTTGGCACACACCCTCTCTTAAAGACAAACACCGGAGATATCCAAGTGTTTTAACCGCCTGCCCTGACAAGATTATTGTGGCAACAGGAGCAAACTGTACATCATTTGGGAGCATTTATGGGTTTGATTTTTATCAATTTGAAACTTTACACCTGTGAACTTGTGGCCTTTGGTTCACACAAAGAGGACTGTTTGACTGTAAGAGAAAAATGGCTGGGATGCAGTGAATCTTTACACTTCAATTGGTGTAATTCACCAAACAGAAGCCATAAAGACCGACTGTTGTGTCGCCTCACGTCAACCTTGTCTCGGCCAAAAAGCTGCACTTGAACACACCACAAAGACGACAGCTAACAGCCAACTGGCATGCATGTTCTGCGAAATAACTCTCCATACCAGAAGGCGGCAATAGTCTGTATTTTTCATTAAAAAAATTGAAGCTGGAAGAGCGACAGAACAAATTTAAGTGATATTTACCGTGTGCTATTAACCGTTTCGCTAAAGAGCTCAATGTCTATAAAAATCATCTTGACTTTAGCTGTTTGTTTACTTTTCTCACTTCTGTTTCTTTTCTCATGTGCTGAGCTGAACTGCCAATCACTGACCGACAGGCTACACCGATTTCAACAAGTTGAACTGGTCGAAAAAAGCAAACAAGGGCCAACAATGAATGGTAAAATGGACTTGAACTTGTACATCACCTTTCTAGTCTTCTGATCGCTCAAAGCGCTTTTACACTCCAGAGGTACATTCGCCTATTCACACACACTGGTGGCCGAGGCTACCGTACAAGGTGCCACCTTCTTCTCAGTTTAAACACACTCACACACCGAAGACACAGCCACTGGTAGCAATTTGGGGTTCAGTATCTTTCCCAAGGATGCTTCTACATGCAGACTAGAGGAGCCAGGGATCGACCCTAACAGATGCTCACCGACGGCCCGACATGGACAACCAGCCAACCGCCGGCTTGGTGTTAAAACGGTCGCTCGCACAAACATAGGTAATCACCACTCACCACACACGCATCTCTCTGTGTCGCCACTTCAGACTCAAGAAAACAACTAATTTTTCCGAGGCCAACATTCAGTCATTAGTTTGTCTTTAACTTCGGCCACATCTTGGTTTACATTAAGTTCCTTACTAAGTGTGCTTCCAGCCAAAGCGGTGGCGGTGGCGTTGTTGTTGCTGCCGTACTTTCTGTACTCTTTTGGGCTAGTTTCTGTCCTGGTGATTAACGTGAGCTGTGAACGTGGAGCCTATTTTGTTTGTTCTTTTTAGTGATTCATTTCATACTTCTGTCAGTGTTATTTCTGTCTTAGGTTCTGCACTCTTAACACCGAAGCCATTGGTGATCCTGCGCAGTGTCCACTCCAAGCTAGCAAGCTGAAAAATTGTAATCCAGTAGCAATCTGTTTCCTACACCGGGCGTGAGAATGGTTACAGCAGGGTATAAAGCAGCAAACGTTCGTCATTCTACCTTGTTTTCAAGATGGATAAGACATAAACTCAACCATGTCGTCTACGCTGTCTCGACTTGAAGCTTCCGTGTCCTAAAATCCTTCGCGATCCCATTCCCCATCTTAAACAGTTTGAAAATAGTTTGAAAGTTGTTTCTGTAGTCAGTAACAGACAAATTAAACGGACAAAACATGAGGCACAGACAAATGCAGATCAAGTTTTGTGAACTGCCCTGCTGATATAGTTTGCTTGTTTTACAAAAATATGTAGTGTATTACCAATAAGTTGTATAATATTAGTTTAATTTGAGAGCTGCTAGCATAGGCTGGAGACTTGTAATCTTGTAAATATCTAATACTTTATTTACACTGTGTTAATGCTCCCTGGGGCTGATGAAGTTTCATCCCATCTAATCTGTTTTTGAGGTTGTACTAGTACACATCACTGTGGTAGCAGATTAACAAGCTTTGTAGGAATAAAGGAAAAACACTTTTGTTTTTTTTGGTTAAAAAAAAAGAAAAACAAGGAGCAGGGTGTCTGTGTCTTTCACGAGCTGCCTGGCAGCGCAAGAGGGGGAATAGAGGATTCGAGTGGCAACGGCCGTGTTTACTTAAAGCCCTCTCCCTCTAACAGAGAGCTGCGAGGCAGACCTGCTGTCTCTGCGCGCTGCTTTCACACTGAACGCCAGCCAAATGACGGGGAAAATTACCCACGACGGTGCAGAGGTTGGATTACAGCTCGAGCGGCCCGAGCAGCCCCAAAGTTGGCACCTTGGAAAACATCTTCAGGAACACATTGTGCTGAGGAAAACAACGAATGTATAGTTTCACAGGAAGGTTTCTCTATGTCTGTTTTCAATGCTGTTTTGTATATATGAGAATGGACTTTCACCAAGGAGGAGGAGCTGAATTAAAATAAAATGCTGGTGCCTTATTTGTTCTGCTGGGATTAAGGTGAATATGGGTGGTTTTAATATTGTCAAGTTTATAGTACTCCATTTATCTCTGTGTCCCTGATTGTGCTTTATGTCTCTTACCTGACCCATTTAAGAGTCCCCGATATAAGAAATAATAAAATCCAGGCAAGGTGAGACAATTTGCAGATTTTAGGCCGTCATCCAACACTCATTTCCCCCCAGTCGACTTTAAGTGTGACAGTAAAACGTGCTCTGACTCTTTGATTACCAACACTACAAGCATCAAACACAAACAAGTGCATCACAATGAGAAACTGTGACCTGACAACAGACACAAAGAGGATGTTTACATCCCCAGAGAAATTAAATATGACAGGGAAGTGGAGGACCTGAACGGTATACCTGCTGTGACTGTGGAAACTTGTCAGTGAAAATGGGGTAACACTTGTTATTGAAGGACTCCCTTTGTGCCATTACTGTTCTGTGTGCGCAAACGTGACCAAACCCAATTTTGGTGCATTTATTGAGCTCGCAGTCCGGAGCGATTGTTATTCTGATCATGATTTTGTGGAGGAAAAAAATTAAGGTATTATCCAGAGACTGTCTTGTCCGCCACAGTACAAGCAGTGCTCAGTGTTATGTAGCAATTTATTAATTTGTCTGCATCTCCACACAGATACCTGTGTGTTTATTGTGCTCCGTAATTGAAGAATTTTTAACTCTGGTCACAATTTCGATGAAAAAAACATCATTAGAGGAGCTGTTTTATCATGCAAGTCATACATGAGACTGCAGAAATGTAACAGAAAAATTGTGGCACATTTATTGTGTGCGGCGGGGCAAGGTTCACGATTTAGATCCGAACATGATCATCAAAGGAGCATTTAAACATGCTGGTTGTTGGTAAGTTGCGGAATTGTCACAAAGACAAATTGTAACCTTGAAATTGACCGAGAAAAGTTTCTGTATTTAAAGGTTAAGTTCCATATTTTTCTACCTTGGACCCAATTTTCCCATGTTTTCGCATTGAATCGGTCGAGCATTGAGCGAGAACACTGCCACCACTTGGGGCATTTTTGCACAGTCACTCCACATCCACTAAAAGTATATGTTTTTGCCACTGACAGGCTCCAATTATTTTTCTAAAGCACCTTTCCCACTGCACAAAAAACCCGCTAACACCTGTTAACGTTTGGGTTTTGTGCGTAATGGGAACGTTTCCAATCGGCATTCACATCCATATCAAATGACTCTGCAGTCGTCTGGGTATTTATCAGCTCCGGATCTGATCGATGTTGATAGGAATACAACATTCTGGTGACCATGCTAATTTTAGCCCCTATACCGGCAAGATGCTACCGACCATCTCCACCTAAGCAGCGCTCGACCATCACTCCAAATTAGTCAGCACTGAGTTTGAAAGAGAGACTGAATAAGTAAGAGATATAAAAAGAGAAGTAACCACCGTAACGTTTTCACTGGCCTCCATGCTGCTTTCTACTATTTACGAACCTGTTTTCTGAAACAGAAAGGCTAACAGGCTAACGCTGCAGAGCTGAGTCACAGCTCTAGTCTACTGGCAGTGGGAAAGGAATCTACAGCCTACTCTTAGCGGGTTTGCTCGTGTTTAAAAAACCTGCGTACACGTGCTAATTTTGTTCATACAGCGATTTAAGTGTCTGACAACATTATGGAAAGGATCCCAACAGAGATAGACCTTTTCGTTTAACCAGAAACTGCCTCTAATCACCATTGCCAAACCCACCAGACTCTACTTAAACAAACAGCAATTTAATCGCTGTTAAACACTCTTGATTCAAGTCAACAGAAACAAAATAAAACTCACAAAAACCAAATCTGTTCGCCTTTTCACTAGGCCCGTTTTCACTGAAGAAGTTCCTGGTATTATTTGGGGGGCAGGAATTTCACAGGAACGTCTTCTCGCTCGGCCCTCTCAACCGCCGTGTCTCCACTGTGCGGCGGAGTAGGAGGAAGCTTCCTGTAAAGTTACCGGGCTCTGGATGCGACATAATCGTTGCGCGACTATTTTGACCGGGGCGACGCAGCAAAGAAACAAACAAAGAAAAACAACAACAAAGAAGTACGAAGCAGAAGTAAGAAGAAGAAAGCAGACATGAGAAAGACGATTATCAACATGGAAGGAGCTGAGGTGGTTGCTGGGTTTCTGGCGTGTCTCTTCGTTTACATGGCGGTGGAAGCTATGAACGAGAGCTGCTGAGTTTTAAAAATGCCAGCTATTTTGTTGCTTTCTGTTGAGGTCACATCCCGCCTTGAGTATATCCAATCAGCACCAAGTAACCCCCAAGCCCCAGCCAGATGTTTTTCGGGGCCGTTCTGAGTACCAACTCCGAGGCAGGGACTTGTTTAGCCCCTGTAAAAGTTCTGGAACTCTGTCCTTCGGGGGTGGTTCCTGCGGTGGAGACACCCACCAACGGCCCCGGCCCCGTAAAATTACCCCGAAGTTCCTGCGGTGGAAACGGGCCTACTGTTCCAACAATCACCAACTTGATTTGGTTGAAATTAACCCTTAATTCACCAAGTTAGATGTGAGAATACGCTGCCTCTACACTAAGGATAGACCGATACATCGGCCGGCTGATATATCGGGCCGATATTTGAGTTTTTTACTTGTATCAGCATCGGCCGATACGCGCGTGGGTTCGCGGATTTATTTTTCCCTAGCACTTTTTTTCATTTGAAAGTATGTGGTTAAGTTGAACAAAGCTGTTGAATCCTACTGTGTACAGTAGTTGTTGTTTTATTTATGCTTCAGCTTAAATATTTGTTTATTTTATAAAGACATTACTGGAAGATTTAAGAGCACTGAACTCTTTTTTTTTTTGAATGTATAATAATAATAATCTACCTGTTCTACCTCAACTTTCCATCTTGTTTTAGTATTTTTTACTGTTCAATAAATGTTTCTTATTTTAAACTTGAGACCTGGAATATTTGTTATCAGTGTAATTTTTTTTTTATGTAAATTGAGGGAGCAAAAGCAGTATCGGCCCCAAATATCGGCTCAAGAAAATCGGCAGTCCATAATCGGTCATAAGGGTGATGGAAAAAAATCTGTATCGGCATCGGCTCTAAAAAATCCATATCGGTCTATCCCTACTCTATACACGCTAAAATAACTGTTTATTTAAATGGAGTCTGGTGGGTTTGGTGATGGCGATTTCTGGGCCATTTCTGGTTAAACAAAAAGGATCTTACTCTTTAACAATAAGGTCTATCTCTGTAGGGATCATTTCCATAATGCTATAAGACACTAATAACAATCGGAGCCTGTCAGTGACAAAAACAAGCACTCTTAGTGGATGTAAATTGACGGTGCGCTATTCTTTCACTCAATACTGGACCAATATCAAATTCTAAATTAGTCTCTTGACTCAAACAAAAGGAAAAAAGGTCCAGGTTGAGAAACACCAGACTTACCCTTTAATGCTCTTAATGATTAAAGTCATTCTGATTCTGGTGACGACGTGGTTTAGAAATCAGTAATGGCTGCACCGTCTCATCTTTTCCTGTCGTGTTACAATGAAAGTCATCGGTATGTTGCTCAAATGTCACCGAGACAAATTCCTGTGCATCCATTGTGCTTAGTGAAATATGTGGCACTGACTCAGATCATGATGTGCATGAGAAAATGATCACAGAAGGCCTTTGTCGTGCTCGACATACCAGTGCTGTTCAAGGGTACAATGCAAGTCTACAGATAGAAGACCAAGGCGCATTCCTGCACAGTCACAACGCCAGGCAACAGAGATGACCGACTCTGACCATGATTCTGATGTGAATGATGACTGATGGATTCGATGGTTATGGCCTGATCCCCAGTACCAGCAGTGCAGCACGTTACAATGCAAGTCGTCAACATGTCGACAACTTCCTGGCATTTGAGATAACCCTGATGATGATGGGGCTGAAAAACAAGTTATCGCCAGACTCTTTTCTTTCTTTGTGTCTGCATTGTTTCTGGAAAACTCTTTGTCTGTCTTCCGGGCTTCGGCCTGACAAGGCGGCCCGGCCCAGCCAGGACCGGCCTCCCTCGGGAGTCACTGGATCCCTTGTCCGATCGCAGGGCGCCGTGGCCTCAAACGGGGGCGCATTACACTTAGTCAGCAGACCACAGGAAACAGGAAAACAGAATCTGCTGCTTCACGCCGTTCTTCCCAACCCTCAACCATCTCCAATGGCCTAATCGGATTACACCTTCATCTATTACATCAGAACGGGTCCTTTCGGCCTGGTTTGGTCTGTTGTGGGTTGAGATGCAGATACAGAGAAATAACAGAATCCAAATGCTAAGTTAGATTTTTAGAGGGATAACACGCAGCTATTCTGGACTCCAAACCTCGTATCTTAAGGTCATATCTTGTTGCTGATATGAACATAAAACCTGAGCTTATATAAAACACAAAAACTTGTTGACATGACCTTAAAAAGAGCTGACCTGGAAAACTGAAGTGACAATAAGCCCGGGTTTAACTCTACCAGAGAGCCTGGCTTTTATTCAGTGAGCTACCCACTCTTCTTTTTTTTTACATGAGAATTTTCTGTGATGTCTGCAGCCATACTTCTCCTCCAGTTTGATAAAATTTGAGCCAAAGTACATTTGCAAAGGCTTACGCTCCTCTTGTACTTAAGTAATTTACACTCTCTGACTTGAAAAATGTTCCAGGTAAGTGGCAATTCTCCTACTTATGCAAAATGTATCTGCACTCCTCCTCAGTCTGCATAGAAGATGAAAAAGCATGCCGCAGTTTCAGTTTCAAACACTTCTGCTCCGTCTCTCTCTGCATGGGGAGACATGGAGAGCCATAGGTCTCGCAGATACCGTTCTGGAAACTGGGTCACATCAGACACAATACGTTACATAAACATCACAGGTGGACATTCATACAAAAAAGGGGGCTGCATTCGGAGCCGCGTTGGCCACTTTCCACCATGCACAATACATTTTCAGCAGGGAGCACAAAAGACATCCATCCATGCAATAAACCCAGGCAGAAAAAAAAAAAAAAAACAACAACAGACAGAAATGAGCTACGAACCGAGTAAACAAGACGCTGTCGAAAAAGCAAAGAGAAGAACAAAATAGTGGTCTGGGATTGAGGTGGAGAATTCAAGCTCTGAACCCAAAAAGGGGGGAAAACTAATAGTGTTTCAACTTCAATTGAACTGCTCTTACCTCCACCATAATGTGAAAGGCGTGCTTGTTGAAAAGGAACATAAGAAGCAAACAGAGAAATTATTTTCTGTCAGTTAGTGGATGAAATAGAGGCAGATAAAAGGCAGGAGATGATGAGTCGTCCCTGAACAACCTTTTGTTCTTCGTACTCCAGACCAGGGCTCCGAAAGCTATGGTTTGGGACACATGAAGGACAACAGGTGTTTGTAATCCCACATGGATCATAGGTGTTAATAAGCATGACACCAGAGGCAAGATGGTATATTTTTGGAACTTAAAAATGACGCTCCGAAGCAGAGCAACTGAAAATGCACTGAACAATGTGTGAAAGGAACAGAGAAACTCTTCCTGGATTGCGGTGGAATTAAACAAACAAAAATGCAAAGTTCAGAGCGACAGCACCCTGATGACAGACGCATGAGTGGAGCCACAAAAATCATGTTAGACACAGAAATGTTGGGTTACGGAAGTGATGAAAGCCCCGACTGAGGAGATTAACACAGAGCTCAGACTGTATGAAATCAAACACCCAAAAAATACGTCTCTCAACAAGGACTGGGTAACGTTGGCTTTATTTTGATACCTTACTTGAAGGAATATGTAAATGTTCTTCTGCAGTATCTTGTAACATGATATATGTCCACATAAAAATGTCTACATCTGGCAAATTTACATCAGGAACTATGTGATTGAAGAGCACCTTTTGTTTAATACTAAAAAAAAAACTTTTTATAAGTCCCCCTCCACTCAAAAATACGGGAATGCCACAGCGTTGTCTCGCGTTAAAGCCGACACACGAGGCAATAACAGTAGTGAAACTATGTCTGTATAAAAGGGACAGCTGGCAGGACAGTATCATGAGCAGCACGAGTGTGAAGTTTTGATGACGTCCTATATGTGCCACCCACCCTAAGAGATTTAAAAGGTAGCAGCTACCATCCATCCACCCATCCATTTTCATCCGCTTATCTAGGACCAGGTCATGGGAGCAGCAGGCCAAGCAAAGCACCAAAGACATCCCTCTTCCCCAGCAACGCTTCGGGGACAGCTCCTCCTAGGGGACCCCAAGGTGTTCCCAGGCCAGATGAGATATGTAATCCCTCCAGTGTGTTCTGGGTCTGCCCCAGGGCCTCCTACCAGTGGGACGTGCCCAGAACACCTCTAACAGGAGGATCCTGATCAGATGGCTGAACCGCCTCAACTGACCCCTATCGACGCAAGTTAACAGCCATTAATGTCTGCAAATTGGGAAAACAATGAGGTGTGGGAGCTCCTTACCCTCAGAGCAGAGGACCAGATGAGCCGTCATATAACAGGGACGGTAAATTATTATTACTGACACGTTAATGCCATTGTTATTGTTTATAAAGCGCTGCCAACAAGTATGTTATATGTCACACTAGAGGCCAACGGCACTATAGCTCTGAACTATACTGACTTCTATCTGTGCCAAGTTGTGCACTTCACTAAAGATCTCGCCGGACAAACTAGATAGGGTACTTCACTAATTCGAAAGCCAATTGCTGTCGAATACAGAAACACAAATCAACATCGACATGACAAAAACAAACCCTGAGACCTCCAGTACAACGCGCAGAATGCGCAGTTTGGGATTTAAACCAGACCCTGTAGCTTCCTTCTCGGGCCCGACCAATTTATCGGCCGGCCGATTTAATAGGCCGATTATAGCCATCAGAAAATAATCGGCAATCGGCGCCTTTTTGCACCTCATATTTTTGATTTATTTTGTGTTTGTGTTTCTATTTTTGTAACGAGTGTTTGAACTATATTTAAGCCATCAAAAGCAGGTTTTTTCAATTGAAAAACGTAAAAATTTAATCGGCAGATACATTGGTTATCGGATTTTTTTATTCCATAATATCAGAATCGGCACTGGTCCCAAAAAATCCGTATCAGTCGGGCCCTACTTCCTTCCACTATCTACCAAAAACTCCATCACAACCATTAACACTGTGTCAGCCACTGCCTGTTAACACTAGTCATCTTAATGTGCACTGCTCTTTCACAAGTCAACCTAGCATGACCACCACTTCTTTTACTGTTACGTGAGGGCTAGCATTAGTATTTTTACACACTTTAAAACGTGTCTGGAGGGCGACTTCAAGTTCAAGGAAGACAAGTAAATGTTAGGTGAAGAAAGCAAATTGAAGTCCCTTGCTCTGGGTCTGAAAAAACACAAAAAGGTACGTTTGTCTCGACCAACTCATAGTTTGCTCCTTAATGTTTAGATTTCACTGGCATGTCACATGGTAACACATGTGCATAACAGCTGCCCAGCGAGAAATAAATCACAACTGCTGAGAAGAATCTGTTACAAAGGGGGCTGTAACAAAAAGTTCAAAGCTTCGGATTCTTCATACAGTCATTTTAATCTAGACTGTGTTGTATATTGTATTATTAGTCTAATTATATTCTTGTGGTGGCTGCTTTGGACTGTTTCCATTTTGTCTGACATGTACATGTAGTTATACAATAGCTCCAGAGTGTTGTGAGGTCCAAAAGTCAAGAGTTAGTGAAAAGAGACGGATGTAATAATTTTCAAAATTATCTTGCTGCATTCAGGCTTTCAAAAAATGTTCATTGCGGTCAAATAATAGTTTGCTCTCCTGCTCTGCTCTCCCGCACACAAAGGAGGGCACGTACCTGTATTTGCAATCTAACATTTGTTCTTTAAAGACAGTTGAATTAATTAAAAACAAACTAAAGCTACTACTGCGTGCTGCGATTGGCTAGTACTCGTCACGTTGACATGTCAAGGTCAGAAGCAAAGAAGAGGTCATGGTTCAGGCATCTACAAGCCAATCTTGGATATTCTCGGAGTTTAAAGTGGTAACTTTACGAGAAATAACTCGTAAATGTACCCCCAGAATGTCAGGTGATGTGTCAGGTGACAGCAACACAACCCGTGGAAGGATAACTTTGGTGGGTGACTTACGCACAGGAGACTCAGCCCCATGTGAGACAACACAAAATGCCCGAAAATATTCACCCTGGTGTAAACAGCATCGTTGGCTGTGGACACCTGGGCGCTAATAGCATGTACCAAAAAATTAAAAGACTCAGTTATTTAATCCGATGACTCACTTTATTCAAATTGAGGATTTTATTCAAAGGTCCTTTCTTAGGATGACGATGTTATAAACTATGACAGACATTCGAAGCTTCTTTTGAAAACCTCAACAGAATAAAATGACAGCCCTGTTCATCTAATTTGAATCTCCTTTAACAACCTGTGCCAAAAGCATTTCAGGGCGGCAGTCTGAGGCAGTCTAAGGTTTTGGGGGCTTTTCAGGATATTTGGAGTCCGCTGGCCCATTAGGAGTTCTTTGGAAAGCTGCGCCCAGACAAACAAGATGCAAGTAGCTCCATAATAAAGCAATTGATGAGATTTTGGTCAGAATCGATCCGCGAGATGGATAGAGATAAGAAAACAGGGTCCAGGTCGAAAAAACATCCAGACTTATGTTTAAGTGCTCCCGAGCCTCTCCGTGTGAAAGCTGTGGGTCTGTGTACTCAGACAGAATCAATTCCAGTTTGCCTCCACTTCGCACTGTGGTGTGAATAATGGAGACTTGGTGGCAAATATGCAGTCCATGATGGACCGCCATCATAATGACATAATGACACTGTGCAATTAAGTTACTCTGCTGCGCATCATTTTCTGCATTTCACACTGGATTTCATCTTTTTAAAAGGTTGCAGAGTCTTAAAGCGAGCGCGCAAGATAATCAGACATGCACTCTCTGATGGGATCAATCCGCCGCCTTCTTTATGAACTCCACCCAACACCCCCACCTGCAGCCGGTCCCAATGCAAAGCTGACGACTATATGTGAAGGAACAGCAGTAGCTCTTTTCACAGGGTCGGTTCTCCGACTTTCTTCGGTGCCTTGCGTGGTTAGATTAGAGGACAGAGCCGTGATAATGAATCCATTAGTGATCATTAAGTAGGAACAATTTACTTTTGCATCAAAGACTGCATGTTTCATTACCTTGCTAAGAAAATAATGTCAGCAACTTGATGTATTATTTTCCTCTGACTTGACTATGAACTCTTGAGCTGCAGAGAAAAACAAAAAACCGAAAGCATGGAAAGTTCTGGGCTGATAGTTTGATGAAGATAAATAGATCCTCCTTCTGATCGGTGTTGCCAACTCCGTGACTTCCCTGCCAGATTTACTTTTCAGATCCTCTTAGCAACTTTGCTTCTTAAGCAACTAGAGACAAATTAAGCAGAGACCATCAGGACAAAGCGAAAACTACATTATACTGTTATTTATTCCCATGCAGCCTGCCCAGAGTAAATGCAGTCTAAGGCCCTTATCACACAGGACGCACCGCACTACCTTCTTTCTTTGTATTTGACAGTAATCAGTATCTAGTTCCCAAAATGTTGAGGCAGAGGGTACTTGCTGCAGCTCTGGCAGATAAACAGAGATCTGTGTGGGTACATGAGACCCTAAAAAAGAGGGTGGGTCATGGGGAGTACCACCAGTTGGTCCAGGAGCTTCTCCTGAATGATGGACATCTCCAGGCAAACTCAGGGACAGTTTGACAACCTGCTGTCTATCACTGGGCCGTATGGTTCTGGGTATCCAGCAACCACTACCACCAGTTTCTCCTCCATTGTTTACCAACTGTAAACTTGTTGTCGTGACCACCACAGAAGGCCTGCATCTCGAATCATCCCTTTGGACAATGGGGAAAAGGCAGAGAAGACGTGGGGCACAACAATGCCCACTGAATTGCAGGCTACGATGTATGTCCATCAGCGTCAAAACAACATCAGCGTGCGTCAACCAACTATGACGCTGTAGTGGTAAGATGAAAACAAACCTCGCTATAGTGGCATGTATGTGTCGAAAAAAGTCGGAATAATAGGAGGATGTGGATGCTGTCGTGGCTGGGAAAAAGAAGCCAACTTGGCATGCCAATTTTGCAGCAAGTGCTCGAAGTATTAATTAGCATCTGCTAGCATTTAACATTAGCGCCATTTCATGGTGC